CCAGTTCCACATTGGGACACCTATGACCCTAACAACCCCTCCCCCAACACCTATGCTTATTGGGAAGGTCCTATCGACCCATCCCAACGTGTTGGTACCCCACCATACAACCCTTATCGGCCGGGTGGGTGCGACTACGCCTATGATCCGGCAAGTCCATCAACCCCGAATCCTTTTGATGGTGGTTGGGGTACCCAAGGGTGGCCCTATGAGCACTTTAACCAACCTTTCCATCCATCCATGGATCGCCCGGGGTTTGATTTCATGAACCCCCCTCAAGAACGGGAGGATAGAAACCCCCAATGAGGGTTCTCTCCCTCCATTTCCCCCCCCCCCCGGACTTTCATGCCTATTCCTTTTGCTCGAGACGTGCAAAAGACTAGCGTGGGGGAGGATGTTCCTTTTGGTTGAAGTGTACATAGGAGGGTAGTGTGGTAGGATGGTAGCTTGTGCATATGGAGAACCATCACGGATAATGAATTTATTGTAGTTAGAGATGATTTTTGGTTGGTAATATTCTTTTGAAGCTAAAAAAAAAAAAAAATAAAAAAAAATAAAAAATAAATAAATAAATAAATAAATAAATAAATTTTGAAGTTGTTTTTCCCTCTTCTCTCTTGATCCCAAAATCCAAATCCCAAAATCCAAATCCCAAAATCCAAATTTTGTAGATAGCTTTTTGTCAATCTTTTTCTTTTGTTTATAATTCTAGTCTTTTCCTTTTGTTCACTAACTTTTCTTTGTATAGTTGTAGTGTTTCTTTTCTTTTGGCTCACTTTCCTTGTAGCTTGAAAACGGAAGCACAAAATGATGGGATAAGGAGCAACTCAAGCTCCGGAAACCTTAGTGAGATCGCAATTTTGCCTTGTGTTCTATTTCAAGCAGCATTTGGTGAGATCTTTCCCTACTTTCCTTTATTTTTCTTTGTGTGCATAGTTAGTTTAGACTAGAATGGAGTTGATTGTTCGAGGTTGTTTGCATTTGATTCCACGGAATCTGGTGATCGTTGGTATTGATGCCGAACGATCTTTGTTTGTCGATTGAGAATTATATGTTTACTAGCCTCTTATCTCTCTTGTACTCCTTGCTTTAAAAAAAAAAAAAAAAAAAAAATATCGAAAAATGTGAAAAAAAAAAAAAAAAAAAAAAAAATGAAAAAGATTTTCCTTTTTATTCATGGCAAACCACGAAAAGCTTAGTTGTTTCATTTTCATTTCGAGCATAATAATGTTGACTCGTGTGTTTGAATGCTTTGCTTCTTGAGTGTTATAAGTTTGCATGCTTCGGGATTGCCATTGGTTGACTCTGGGACATGTTCATGCTAAGGTAGTTGTTCTAGAACTCGTTAGGCCCATCGAACCCAAATTCACTTGTTTGTGGTAAGAAGGTGTTGCTCTCATTAGGGGATTTGAAGCCCTAGAGATGGTTTTTGTAACCCGATGTGAGCTTTATTGTTCAAGCCTCCAACATTACTTGTATGAGCGGCGTAGGATCCTCACCAAGGCATGCTTAGATCTAGAACTTGGCGTCTGGCTCCCGAGATCGAGACCGAACTAACCTACAAATGACAAAGGCATTCTTCCTTCGGTGACTATTTTGGGTTGCATTTGCCCTTACCATGTTGAATCTTCCCCTCCTTGATTATAGCACATTGCAAGCCCATGGCCCTTTTGTTTTACTTTCACCCTTAGAATCGTGAAGCTCAAGCCATGAGGGCTTATTGTAGTTTTGATTTGAAATTTGGAAGGGAATGGTTCTACTTGGAAAGTGAAGCAGTGTTTTTGTGAATATATGTTCAAGAAAAGCAAATGTAAATCCTAGAAAAAGCCTTTGAAGCTAAAAAAAAAAAAAAAAAAAAAAAAAAAAAAAAAAAAAAAAAAAAGAGAGAGAGAATGTGACAAACGAAGGGTTGATGAATGAAGATGTAAGAGGAAAGCGAAAGCTCAAAAGTGTTTGGCATTATAGTTCAAGATTGTGGCAACGTAGTTTGAAAATTGGTTGATGATTGATTTTGAAAAAGAGGCTTGATCACCCTTTGCTTCACGGTTAGGCTAAGCACCAATTTCCAAATTCCTCCACACCCTTACCCCCTAGCCATCGTTATAACCCTTTCAATGCCCTGTTGACCTAGGTTGGTTGAGTCACTAATCGGTGGAGGGAGCTGGAACTCAAGCATATAGAGAAGGCATGACTTGGTGAGATGTCGGGTTTCCCTATTTTGCAGTGTTTTATCTTTGTTCCGGTTCCTTCGAGGAGTCACTTGATGCTATCTCCAAGGGCGGATTTGAATCTAGATGAGGGAACGCGGTAAGATTGTATGGAATGCGGGGGGAGTGGTGCATGTTTGAGTTCTCTATGCTTAGCATAACTTATCCTTCAATCAACTTTCGGCATCCCCTTGCATGCTCACTTCTACTACTCAGAAAGTTTGACACTCATTCATGTTTGTTATCTCCAAAAGCTTGATTTGGCTATGATTTGTGTTGTATTTGTTGTTTCTCTTTCCCTTGTTTTTGGTTTGTCTTGAACGCAATTTTGTAAGAGTTGTGGGGTATGCTCTCTGGAAACCCTCACGAGATCACAACTTGTCCTCATCGGCGACCTTGGGGTTTAAATGGCTTGTTGCTTTTGCTAAAAGCAATTTCGGTTTTTCTTTTGTTCCTTGCATGTTTGAATAACTAATTCTTTCTCCCTTGTTCTTTTTCCTTTGCTTTGCTCGAGGGCGAGCAAGGGCTTAGCGTGGGGGAGTTTGATGAGTGACATTTATGTCACTCTTAGGGGTAGTATTTAGGTCTTTTTCCTCTTATTTTTCTTAGGTTTTCACCTCAATATCCTCTTATGGCTTCTTTTTGTGTTGATGAAAAGTAATGCTTATTTTGATAATCTTTATGCATTATTTTATCATCCCCATGCTCTCGTGAACTTTGGTATCTTCTGCAGGTTCCGTGACGGTCCTATGCACGGTGGGAGGCCCTTGGCCAAGCATGGAAGCCATGGACAAAGGCAAGAGGAGCAAAAGGGAAGGAGAGGAAGCAAGAAAAGGAAGTGCAAGAGGAGGTGTGGCCGAACCTCTGAAAGGTCCGGTCGAACCTTGGTGTGGTCAAACTTTTCAAAAGTTCGACCGAACCTCCAGGGTGCAGTGAAGGCAGTGTCAAACCTGTTTTCAGCAATTTTGCAGGAGAGGTCGAACCTCAAAAGTTCGACCAAACAAGGATCAGGGAGGTTCGACCGAACCTACACAGGGTTCGACCGAACCTACCCTGAGTCCGACCGAACTTACCCAGAGTTCGGTCGGACCTTTTCCCGATCTCAGCCAATTTTGTACGGACTATTTAAGGTCCTTTTGTGATCGTTTAAAAGGACGGGAGAAGCAGGACAGTAGCCTAGTTTTCAGAAACCTCCCTTAGTTTGAAACATTCCTTAGGATTATTTAGCTTAGTTTTCATCAAATCAAATCATTGTATTAGTGAAATTCAAGAATTATTCTCAAAGTTTGGCAATTTGTATTCAACATTTGAAGCTTCAATTAGTAATTTCTCCAACCTTCTTCCTTTTAATTTCAGATTTTATTTGGTATTTGCATGTTATTTAAATCTTCCTAGTTCTTGGTAATTTGTTATTGGATGATAGTTATTTCAATTGTTAACCACTTTTCCCCAATTATTGAAGTATTTAGAACCCTAATTCTTGATTGCATGTTGATAAACATGAGTTGTGAGTAGTCTTCTTGCTAGGGGTTGGGTGAAGCTCGACCTTTTGGGTTAACTATGCAAATGTGGGAGAAGCATTGATGTTTGAATTGCAATTAAATTGATTATATGAGATTGCTTGTTAGTTCCTCATGATAGGTTTAGCTACCCTTGACTAAGGAGCTTGATAGTATGATATGCCTAATTTGACATGGAAGTGTAAATTGAGTACGTCATTACTTATTGTAATTTGATTATGTATCGTCTATTGCTAAACTAATGAGGAATCTAAGTTTAGTAGTGTGAGTTGTTTTCTAATTGCATGAGGTTGATTTTACATATAGTCCTTGCTATATCTTGTCTATTTTACTCCCCGTTTACCTATTTGCCTTGGTTGAGTGGATCTCATTCCCTAGTATCTTTAGTTCATTGATTTAGAACCATAGTTTGTTTGTCTTCTTGACGAACCCCAATTCACCAATTGACTTCGAGTTAGCTTAAGTGTAAAGATCTTTGGCAATCATATCCCGTTCCTTGTGGACCGAACTCTTACTTGTCATTATGCTTGGTTTGTAAGGTGTTTGTTAATAAATGTGTTTGATTGAGTGTGGAATGTACGACCATTCGCACGCCCATCAATAACCCATTCCTGATCCCTTGCCTGAAAATTCTGATCTCTCGCCTAAAATTCAAACCCGAAATCCCCTATTAACCTGAAACTCCAACCCTCACTTGAAACCCTAACCCCGAAACTATCCTAAACCCTGGAGGGGGTCAAAATTATCCTAAACCCTGGAGGGGGTCAAAATTGTTAAGGGGGAAAGGAAGGGGCCGGAAACAAGGACAAAAAAAAGAAAAGGATGCCAGAAACGGAGACGGGGAAGGGAAAGGGTGCTGGAGGTGGCAGGGCTGCCGGCTACCTGAGGTGGCAGGGATATGTTATTAATTTTTTATATTAAAATCCTAACTCGAAAAAATGGTCGGAAAAATGATAAGGGTGGTAAAACCTACTAATTTTATAAAATAGAGGTGATATTTTTTAATTTTTTAAAAAAGGACGGTTAATTCAACACATGATACATTTTAAAGTGGTTATTTACAAAAAATATCTTTAAAAAAAAAAAAAGAGTAGTAAAATCATCAATTCATCATTATCATATAAAACGAGCTCTTGTTTAAGAAGAAAGAGGGCATTTTGCATTTATGAAATAATTCTTAAAGATTAATGGTTTCTTTAAGAACGAGAAACCAGGCAACCGGTGAAAGCGGTAAAGAGAAAGAGAGAGAGTCTTGAATTTTCAACACGGTTTTACTTTGTTAGCAACCGGCAACGGATACTTTCTAACATATTTTGCTCACTCATTAGACTTTTCATCTTCGTCAATGCTTAGTTAGCTCCCCAAACATTTTTCTCCCAAATTCATCCTCTCAATTTTTCCGGCTCAACCCCCCTTTTTTTAGGGTTTTTCTCTCTCCTGGTATTTCTCTATCTTTCTCTCTGCTCTGATTTTGCTGAATTTATTCAATTTCACAATTTTTCGACGAATTATTACACTTTTTTTTGCTGTTTTTTTGTTCAGTTTTTGATCTGGAATTTGTTTTAGTTTACATTTCTGTTTAATTGCACTGCTGTTGTTCTGATTTTGCTTGAACTCATCTCTGAATCGTTGAAATTAATGAGAAAAACATTTGACCTAAATCTTGATTTTTTTTCCTTAATTAGGAATCTTTCGATTAGTTTGATTTTATTTATGTTTTATTAATTTGTATTGCTTTAATGGTTGCGATTGGGAGTAATTTGATTTTGTTCAGCTGGGAATTTGAGTTTATAATTAGCAAAATTAGTACGCTTATGTGTTTGTTGATGAATTACAATTTAAGAATATGATTTAGACCTGTTGTAGATGTTTGAGTTGGGAGTATAAATGTGATTGGTTTTTTCAATTGAAATCAGGAGCTGGTTGATTACTTCTTGTTTGGGAGGTGTTCTGTTTGAAAACGTTAATTGAGCATCGGATGAGCACGATTTGAAGGCAATCGTCTCTGAGTAGCCGTAGTATCAGTTGTTGTCGTCGTCGTCATGTTGGTACAGAATCAGGGACAGGAGTCGCCTACTGAGAGTGCCAGTTCACGTGATACGTCACCTACTGCTGATGGAATTGTGGCGAATAATCGGGAGAATGAGAGTAATGGTAATGATTATTCACGAGATACATCACCTACTGCGGATGGATTTGTGATGAAGAAGCGGGAGAATGGGAGGAATGGTAACGATTGTTTTGAGCAAGCCGGTTCACGTGCTACGTCATCTACTGCTAATGGAATTGTGGCGAAGAAGCGGGATAATGAGAGGAATGGTAATGATTATTCACGATATACATCTCCTACTGCAGATGGATTCGTGATGAAGAAGCGGGAGAATGGGAGGAATGATAATGATTGTTCTGAGCAAGCTGGTTCACGTGATACGTCACCTACTGCTAATGGAATTGTGAGGAAGAAGCGGGAGAATGGGAGGAATGATAATGATTGTTCTGAGCAAGCTGGTTCACGTGATACATCACCTACTGCTAATGGAATTGTGGGGAAGAAGCGCGAGAATGAGAGGAATGGTAATGATTATTCACGAGATAGATCACCAACTGCAAATGGATTCGTGATGACAAAGCGGGAGAATGAGAGGAATGATAATGATTGTTTTGAGCAATCAGTGGTTAGGAGGGGAATCTTTACGGGAGATAAGATTACTCTCCGTACCATAGCTGAAGAAAGGGTCGATGTCATCTCTGAGAAAATGCAGGTTCTTCCCGATGAATACCTTGAAGAGCTGAAGAATGGCCTGCGTGTTGTTCTTGAAGGAAATGGTGGCTCACAACAGCGGGAGGAATTCTTAGGCTTGCAGAAGCTTGTTCAAAGTAGGTCGGACTTAACTCCTAAGATGTTGCGACGAGCCCACCGTGTGCAACTTGAAGTTCTTGTTGCCATGAAGATGGGAATCCAGGCTTTCTTGCATCCTAATGTCTGCCTTTCTCAAACTTCTCTCATTGAAATATTTGGCTGTAAGAGATGTCGAAATATTGCGTGTCAAAACCAGCTTCCTGTGGATGACTGTACCTGTGATGTGTGCACAAATAAGAGTGGTTTCTGTAATGTTTGTATGTGTGTAATATGTACTAAGTTTGACTTTGAAGTGAATACATGCCGATGGATTGGTTGTGACTTATGTTCACACTGGACCCATACAGATTGTGCAATACGTGATGGATTAATCTGCATGGGTACATCTGCTAGGGTTGGGACTGGACAGGCTGAGATGTTGTTTAGGTGTAGGGCTTGCAATAGGACATCTGAACTTTTAGGTTGGGTTAAAGATGTGTTCCAGCATTGTGCCCCCACTTGGAGCAGGACAGCTCTTATGACGGAACTTGACATAGTTGAACGCATTTTCCGTGGAAGTGAAGATGTTAAAGGTAGGAAACTATTCTGGAAGTGTGAGGAACTTGTAGAAAAGATGAAGAGTGGACTACCTGAGTCAGCAGCTTGCAGGGCGATCCTGATGTTCTTCCAAGGTACCTGCTTTATCTAATTATCATTAGATTTTATCCATATGAAACTTGAATATGCTTGACTATGAGTATTGAACCTACAATATACTATTGAATGTGTTATAAAAAGGACTGAAGAAAATTGGAAAAAAGGTTTATTAATTAATTTTGCTTCAAAAGAGAATGGTAATGATGTGTTTTAAAACCTCTCACCGTTTTTTCTTGTTGTTTCACAATTTTTTGCACCATGCTATTACTAGTAAGATGTCATATTCCTATATTTACAAAGTACTTCGTATTAAGTTTAATGTCTCTATAGTCTATACATCATAGCTGAAAGAATGCTATAGTTTGGTCCAAAGAAGAAGGGTATTGTCCTTTATATCAACTTTTGATGATGCCCTGTTCTAGTCACTTTGTATTCATAATTAATAAAGATGTTGAATCTTATAATAAAAACCATAAAACATACTATTAAATGATTTTCCCTTGTTTGAAGAGCTCGATGCGGATCCATCGAGAAATGCAGGAATGGGGGAAGGTGGAAGACTGTTAGCACCACAGGAAGCCTGCAAACAAATTGCAGAAGTTGTACAGGAAGCTATAAGGAAAATGGAGATGGTGGCTGAAGAAAAGCTAAGGATGTTGAAGAAAGCTCGCCTTAATCTTGAAACTTGTGACCGTGAGCTTGAAGACAAAGCTAGGGAAGCAGCAGAGCTGAAGCTTGAAAGGCAGAGAAGGAAGCAACAGATAGATGAGCTTGAAAGCATTGTGAAACTTAAACAGGCAGAAGCTGACATGTTCCAGCTTAAGGCTGATGAGACTAGACGAGAAGCTGAGATGCTCCAGAAAATTGCTCTTGCCAAATCAGAGAAATCAGAAGAAGACTATCGCACTAGATACCTCAAACTTAAGCTGAGCGAAGCAGAGGCAGAAAAGCAATACCTATTCCAGAAGATGAAATCTCAGGATAGTTCTCGTGCTACGCATGGCAATGATGTGAATGATTCTTCACATATGTTCTCTAATGCACTAAAAAATGTGTACAATGTTTCATCCAGTGCTGATTGCCAGACCAGTGAGAGGAACTCTGGAAGAAAGAATTCATGAATATGATATAATCCCTCGTATGAATGGTAAAAGAATAGATGCCGTTCCTAGGACATGTCGAGGTTCAATTGCAGGTACTGGTTTTATTCTATAACTTCTTGCATTTTTTAACTGGCAGTTGTACTAAAGTAGGAAGTGGTGAATGTACAAGGTCTTGTTTTACTTATTCTCATCCTGATGTCGATTTCTGTGTTTCTTTTCAGCATAATTTGCTGGCTGTGATGGATTAACTAGTTTATTGTATGTTATATAGTGCTGTTGTTGTATTTCATTCCCATCCTAATTTGTGTGTATAATGCACATACAGGGTGACTCCAAAATAACTTCTCAATATGTTTGACTATTTATTTAAGGCCTGTTCTGGTCCAACTAATTTTTTATATGGTAAATTAGATACAACGTCATGTCTGGTTTTGTTTAATCTGAATCTTTCTTGTAATTTTATTTAAATTTAAGAAACACAACTAGTTAGTTTGTAAAATAAGGTGAAGAGAGCATATAGTCAAAGCCATGGTGCAAAGATGTTTTTCGTGAAGTTTTTGCATATACGAGTAGCGAAATTGTGTAGATGTTAAGTTGGATTTAAACTAGACATGGATTCCAAGGAATTCAAATAACTAGCACGATTAATCTGCGCTGGACTTTATATGAAGATTGAGAGCCAATTTTTTTTTTTTTTTTTTTTTTTAGAAAAGTCTGAATCAAATAGCTCAAAATGCACCCTTAAATATGAGACCATGACATAGATTTTACATTATCACATGCTACTGATACTTCCTCTGTCTAAAAGAACAACCCTTTTGGCTAAATTATAGTCACAAAATGTTCATCCCGTTCACATTAAAATCCCGTCAATTTACAATAATATTTAAGCAAAATTAGCTTCCCTATGTAAATATTTTTTTTTGTATTTATGAGCCTAAAATTTGTTATATATTTAGATAAAATTCCTAATATTAAAAGATATTATATAATATTTAATTAGTTTAAACTTAAAAATCTCATTCGCCAATTTTGCTTACATGGCATTTAAATTATTTAATTCTAAAAGAAATTAATAATCTCTTATTTAATTGGCTACTACTAAGATTTATAATCCTAATGACGCGCTGAGAAAATTAGATGCTCTCTAAAAACTCGGGAAAAAACTCCCCTTTATATATATATATATATTAGATTAGCTTTCTCATACACTTATATTTCCCATTTAACTTTCTTAATAACTATGAAAGTTCCCCAAATGAGTCGTTGGTTTAGGGACAGCGGAAGTATTAAACTAATGACATTTTAAGCAATTAATGTGTCAAAATCGAAAGATGTAGGATGGTTTAAGATTAGAGTACAAAATGGAACATATGATGTCAAATTGGAGTTGGTTGCTCCCTGAATCTGTATCATCAGACAAAGGTCATCATATATTAATACGGAGTATAATTGAAAAGTCATCATCAACCAACCACTAATAAAGCAAATTCAAATCTTCTTAGTAGCAAATCTTTTACTTAATCTTGTATAATCTTATCTCTATTACCTACTAACATACTTCTATGTTATTAAACTAGATAAAATACTCACTTTGTGTTTTGTCATACGTTTTTTTTTTTAAATCGATATATCCATTGTTAGGGTTTGAACTCTTTAAATAATTTTCAATTCAGTTCTTAATTTCCTTCTCTCATAAAATATTCAGTTTAATTTAGTTCAATTTAATTCTGTTCAGCTCCAATAAGTTCAGATTCAATTCAATTCAATTCAGTTCAACTCGGCTCAGTTCAGTCAATCAGAACAGGCCCTTACTATACTCTATTTTCTACACGTTTTGAAATCTTACCGTACCTCTTTCCTCACTATATTTACGTCTTACGATTAGAAACCTGAAAGTTCAATATGAATCCTATTGTGCATTTTGTGCGCCTTGTAAACCGTGGGCCGCATAATGTTGTATTCATAGACGTGTTTTGGGCCTTGTACAATATTTGGTCTTGAGTTGACAATTTTGTTTTAGTCAGCATTTTCTGCTTTGGTTTAGTGGTATTGTTTGCGCCAATGAGATCAAAACTCATAAGCTCGTATTCTTACTAGACATGTCTTAGTGTCGGTAGGTTGGCAAGGTTTTTTTTTCGTGTCGGACCATGTCGTGTTTTTGTATAAAAGTTAGGAGCTGCCCCAGCCGCGAAGCGGCAAGATATGGACGTATAGTATGATTCAAGGGCTTGCTCGCATATCTTCAAGAACCCCTTTTGAGTATATGCACTTTCTAAACATGGTGGTGTTACAAATTTATGATAACGATAGTTTTCCAAAGAAAGTACAATGTGTAATGCAATAACATACCATTTCTGTTTGTCCAAAAAAAAATACCATTTCTGTTGCCATGTTTTGTTAAAGAAGAATAATGAAATTACAATTTTAAAAATAATTTTCTATTAAAGTGTTTACAACATACGGGTTCTGGCCATTCTATTTTAATAATTGTTGGCTTTTACGACTTTTAATTGTTATTATCCATAGTAGGTGTTAATAATTTAATATGGTATGGATGTGAAAGTGTATAAGGACCAAATTATGGAGTAGTTTATATAGAGAAATATTAGAATAATGGTAGGGATAAACCGATAAAAGAATCGTAAACAGTCATACTCTATAAGAAATAAAAATGAAGTACAAGAATGTTAACTACTCTGCATTACAATACTTATATTGTACTTCCGTATTAGTTTGCTTAGACTATATATCTAGCTTGTATAAGTTATATTATCGTATTGTCTTGTTAGATTAATTCAAATTTATCAATTACTATGTTAGATTAAGTTATATTATACTTGTAGCATCTTTAAATAGCGAGCACTCATACACCATCTTACAATTTTATTTTTTATTTTATTTTTTTAAAAAAAATCCTTTATTAGGAGTCACTTGTAAGTAATTACAAGGTACAAAAACTTAAAGATAAGGGCTCACAAATTCACAATGAAGGTTACATCATCCAATATAATGTCTTTAAAATAAATGAAAGGTTTTATTCCTTTCAAAAATAGCTTTTTTTATATTAAGCAAGTAGGTGAGGTCCCCCCAACAATTGGTAGCTAGCGTATAAAAAATCAAGATTTTTCAACAATATAATTATATGCCCATTTCAGTAAACAACAAAAACATTCTTACTTGGGCTAACCTACTCTCAACGTCACAAGATCATTTGTTTCAAGTCTTGTGTTTTCTTGTAAACATTGTACTTGTATCTTCTTTATTTTCTTTCACTTAAGTGCCAATTTGTATTTATTAGAGAATTTTGCAAAAAACCACCTTTTAAAAACCACTTTTTGCAAAAAACCACCTTTTAAAAAAAATGTGGTGAAGTACCACCTTTTAAAATTTTTTTGTTGCAAAACACCACCTATTGCCGGAATCTGACCGTTGACCCAAATTTTCCGGCGTTGACCGTCACGTGCTTCGCACGTGACTTTTAATTCCAATTTTTTTTTTTTCCTCTTTTTTTTTGCAAATTGACAGGTAAAAAAAATCGACAGGTAAAAAAAAAAAAAAAAAAAAAAATTGGAATTAAAAGTCACGTGCGAAGCACGTGACGGTCAACGCCGGAAAATTTGGGTCAACGGTCAGATTCCGGCAATAGGTGGTGTTTTGCAACAAAAAAATTTTAAAAGGTGGTACTTCACCACATTTTTTTTAATAGGTGGTTTTTTGCAAAAAGTGGTTTTTAAAAGGTGGTTTTTTGCAAAATTCTCTATTTATTATATGCATGCGATGGTAACTTTACGTGGTATGAGTATGAATGATAATACTTTCGTATACACGTTTTAGTGTACAATAAAAATAAGTCTGATATTTATTATTTTGGATTTTTTATATTTATAATGTACTTATTTTCTTATTATGAAATTATTTAAAATAATATATCAAAGTATTATCTATGTTTTATATGTTCTAAATTGATGAGTTTGTTAAATCAATGTTAATATCAGACTATGATAATTGTAACCCTAATATGAGCATATTGCCTAGATTACTAGGCGTGGTCTTAATTGGTTAGTTGAAGAAGGGAAATCTCATGGAAATGGATTGTACTTGCCAGAGATGGTTGTTACTAGTATACTCACATACTATTAGATAGAATATACAAAGAGATGAGGATGCATAAGAGATTAAATAAAATTGACCAATGAGAGTGGTACATACATAAAGAACACTAGTATAGGCATGATTTGAACTTATATTATGCTTTGTCAAAAAAGTGGAAGGCACAAAATTTTCATGAAGCACATTTTATTCAAGGGCTTTTACAAACCACACATAAGAAATGAAGTTTTCATGAAAAAGTTAAGGAGAATAGGAGATGCATATCTTGAGAAAATACTTCGTATAAGATAATTTAATTTAATGTCCGGATTAGATTACCTATCATCCCTAAAAAGTTAATATTGACGACTTGACGTGAGATAAAACTTAACAAGCAAGGCTTTTTAATTTTGAGTTTATGAATGAAGGGATATATTCCGGATACAGTTTCCTTATTGTTCTTGATTAAAACTTATCTAAATTATATGACGAGTTGACTTAGGCCCTTTATAAAAAAAATAATAAAAAAAATAAAAAAATCATATGTATTATCATTTTTCAAACAATTTAAACACAAACAACTTTATTTAGACAAAATAAGTTTATTCTTTGTAGATTAGGTGCAATTTATATACTAGTATAAAAGTTTAGATAAGATATATTTAAACAAAATAAGGGCATGTTCACTTTAGCTTAATTTCAGTCCAGTTCAGTTCAGCTCCAATCTGTTCAGCTCCTAATTTCCTTCTCTCAGTTCAATTCAGCACCAATCAATTCAGTTCAGCTCCAATCAATTCAGCTCAGCTCCAATCAATTCAGTTCAGTAAATATGAACAGGCTCTAAGTTGAACATAATGAACTAACCATTAAAATCAATTACATTATACTAAAAGCGAAACTTAGAGAACACTTGGCAAAATATTATAAAAAGTTTTCCCTCCAAAACCACTTACTAAAAAAAAAATATTGTAATTAAATTATGACTTTTAGTTTGTATAAAATCTAAAATAAATGTCCTTAAATATCAAATTGCCCATTATAACTATTATATGTTTAATTAATTTTTTTCACAATATTTCATACTTTTTACTACTAAGTCTATTTATAATATTTATATCCATTATTTTTGGTAAAATTTATTGTCATTAGAATTATTTAACAACCGTGCATTGTACCTAGTTTTGAACAAAGATAACATTTTCTACTATTTCGTAGGAACCTATATAAAAAAGCAGTGAAAAGAATAGTACGTTGAAAATCACACGAACACAAGTCATTCTTTCAAGCTAGCTAAGAGGAATATAAATATGGAACCAAATATATGGGATCA